CCAGGCGGTCAGCGGAGGCATCCAGGCTTCCAGCCTGGTCCCTCACCTACTTGCCCTGCACGTTCTCAACTCAGCAGCCGGGCGAAGGTATGAAAGGTGGAGTCTGCCCAGGGCTGGGGCCCCTCCCCCACCTGGTCCTGATGCCCTTGTGCCAAGCGCCCTTCCGGCCTTCCCCTGGGCCAGCTGGCCACATCCTGCCTCAGCACTTCTGCATCCTGGTTCCTTTGGCCCCAAAAGCTCCCAGACACTGGGCGGCTCAACTCACTCCCTTTGGGCTCCTGTGCCAACGTGACACCATGACACGGTGGTGGTGAGCCCCACTCAGCGCCCGGCCCAGGGAGGCCCCGGCTTTCATTTCTCTGAAGCACCCATTTGCTCTCATGGCGGTGCTTCTGATCTGTGCACTGACCGCGCCTCCCCACCAGACGCTGGGCCCCACGGGGCCTCATACCGGGGAACCCAGCACCCAGTACTGACTGCGCCAGGCTCACAGCAGGCTCCGGGAAGGATGGGCGAAGGAGGCTGGGTAGGAGGCAGGGTGCAGCTGCTCCTGCGGCCACCAGAGGGAGCCAGCACCCAACAGATGGGCCCCAGCAGGGGGACACGTGACCTCCAGCTGCCAGGAGATGACAGCTGAGATTCTATTAAGAATCCTGGACTTTGGTGCTGCTGAGAGATTTGGTTTCACTCAAGCAACACCCAAGGGACCGTCCTACCTTCCCAGTGGGGAGAGGCCTCACTGAGAAAACCCAGGGTCTAAACAAGTCTCGGAAGCCACTAGGTCTGGGGGTGGGTGACCACCTCCATGCACTCTGGGGGGCCTCGGCTGCTGGGATGAGGGTCCTCGCTCCCACCCTCTGCTGGGCCAGGTAGGGGGCAGGTCGGAGTCTAGAGGCCAGGAGCTGTCACCTCTCTCCGACTTCAGCCCTGTCCTGTACCCTGAGCCTGAGGCCACCAGAGTGGCCATGGGGACAGAGGCCTGGGTTTCAATTCTTGCTCTGCTGTGGCTCTTGACCACCCTAAGCTTCAGTTTCCTCCTCTGGGAGAGCAGGTACTGAGCGCTTCTCCACAAGGCAGGTGAGAGGTGCAGAAATGCACACAGCAGGCACTTAATAAATGCCGCCTCGCCCCTCTCCGGCAGAAGGCTGCTCTGTGTGGGTGACCTCCGGCAAGGCCAGTCGCCTGGACGTGGGCCCGGGCACCTTCCAGGGCAGCACCCTGCCACAGGAGGCCAGCCCACACACCCAAGCAGCCCCCACACCTGGCCTCCCGGTGATAGGGCCAGAGGCAGTTAAGCAACTTGAGGGCTGGTTACTGCTGCCAGGTGCAAGGCGGGGGGTCCCCAGTGAGCAGGCAGACCCCTGCCTCAGCTTGCACTCGTCCCTGGGCCTCCGGGACAGGCCGGGACTCTGAGGTGCGGCAGCCTCTTCTCCATCCCCAGGTGCCTGATTCTTCTAGGCAGGAACCCAGGTGGGCCCTCGAGAGGTCCAAGGAGCAGCCACCTGTCTCCCTGCCACACTGAGAGGCTGACAGAAAAGTCAACACTTCTCCTGTCTGCAGAAAGCCAGCTCGCCTGCCAGTGGATCCCGGTATCCGGAAAAATCCGGGTGCAGCAGGAACAAATCTGTCTGCACAGAGAGGCCCCCACCTTGCCAGGGGTGATGGGGTCCTGTCGGCACCAGGCCCAGGACTCCTGGGCCCAGCGTCCTCTGGGGCCGTCTCATCAACCCCAGGGACTCCTGTGTGCTGGCAGCCATGAGGAGAGGATGGGGGCCTGGTCCGCCGGGGGACCCAGTGCTGGGGGGATGGTGAGGACACCCAGTTTCCTGCAGAAAGGAAGATGTCTGGCTGCATAGGGCCTGAGCGTGTGGCGGCCGGGTGGAAGCTGCTGCCCGGCACGTGGCCTCTCCAGAACGGGGCGCCCAGGGAGCTGTCCTGCTGCAGGGCCGAGGGCGAGGCCGGGAGGAAGGCCCCAGGCACTGTGCCCTTCCTGGCCCGCTTAGGAGGGCGGCCTCCAGCTGGGCTGAGGCCTGGCCAGTTCCCGCAAGCAGGGATGGAGCGAGCCCCTACCTAAAGGTCCTCGGATGCTTTTCCAGAGACTTCCAGGGACCCTCCATAGATTGGGGCTCTCTACCGAGGCCCTTTCTCTCAGGGGCAGAGCTCAGGTAGGGGCCGGGAGGTGGGACAGCGTGGGCAGGAGAGAGGGCAGGAGCCTGTGGTGCCGGGCGCTGGCACTGGGTCTCCCCGGGTCCTCCCAAGCGGCACCACTGTCCCCATTTAACCAATGAAGACTGAGGCTCAGAGGCAGACGGAGCTTCCAGAGGCTGCATGCGACAGTGGGGTTCAAATTCAAACCCAACTGCGTGGCTCCAAAGCTCTTCCAGCCCCGGCAGAAGCTGAGCTGGGGAGGCCGAGCTGGTGCCTGCCTGGGAGAAGCCACGTGCGCGGGGCACGGGGGCCCCCGGGGCTGACCGCAGAGGCGGGGCAGGGCGGGGCGTGGGTACTCACGAGCAGGACCGGGCCAGCTGGCACAGGCCGCAGGCCGGCTTCCGCATCAGGTACATGGGCCACCCGTAGGCGGCCAGGGCGAAGAGCATGTAGTAGCAGACTTCCTTGTAGCGAAGCATCTCGTGCTGGAAGAGGGGGTGGGGGTGGGTCACCTCAGGCCCTTCCGGCTGCAGCCTGGGGGGCAGGCAAGGGGGTGCCAGGAGGGCAGGTGGGAGCCGTGCTGCAGCCTCCCGGCAGGGCCCCTCCAGATGATAATTGCATTTCCCTAATTATCTCATGCAACAGGGCACGGAGCCTCCTGAGACCTGTCCTGTTGTTCCGATCTCAGCATTAATGATTTGGGGACAGAAAAACACTCGGAGCACTGGATCGATTTCCTTGCCTGCTCTCCCCGAGAAGAGGGGGAGGTGTGGGTGGCTATCACCCTCCTCAGCAGCCGGTCTGGGGAGCTGCCCGGCCCACCATGGTGGGGGGGGATTGAGGGGGGGTCAGGCCTGGGTCAGGCCGCCAGGGACAGACTCTCAGACACGCTTGGTGACCCGAGTGGGACAGCTCCCTCCCCCTGGGCATCTTTGAGAGCTGGGGAGACTCTGGCTTGAGTCACTTGTCCCCCCCACACACACCTGCCCCCCTGTCTGGGGCAGATTGGATCTCTGGGGAGAGGCGCCCGGCGGAAGGAAGACGCGGCTGGGGGGCGGCACACGGGTGTCCCAGCCCAGCGGCTTCCAGCGTCCATCCGGGCGCCTGGGTACTGGAGGGCGCCTCACTTAGAGGGAATTAGTCACCTTGTAAAACTTCAAGAGGGTGATTAGTCATGGTGTGAAGTGAAGGAGGTACACCTTAATCAGGGCCCGGGGGGAGGCAGCGCCCCAGCCAGGCCGACTCTGCTCTTCAGGAACGGCTGGGGAAGGTAATTACCCGCTCCCGGTGCTGGAGCAGCAGCGGGCTGCCCGGCAGGGTGCTGGCGGCGGCTGCAAGGGCCCCCGGCGTGGTGGGCCAGGCCGGGCTGTGGCCTCTGCCACCCCCCCAACCCCCCCCCATGGGGCAGGCGTGCGGGGACGGGGTGGTCAGCACCTGCTACAGCCCAGGCCATTCTCACAGGCACAAACTCTGGTTTGGGAGTGCAGGCGGGCGGAGACCCACGGCCTGTTGGGGGGGCTGAGAGGCCGGGATGGAGCCCTCCTGTGGGGGGCGCCAGTGCGGACTGGGCTGGGATGACTGTCCCCCTTGGCGCTGGCTGGACCGGGGCTGCCTGGCCGGGCCAGGGGCCGTTCGGGGTGGCGACTGCAGGACCGAGCACAGCGGCCTGAGCGCCTGGGGCCGGGCCGGCCATGGGCCCCCGTGGGCAGCACGTGAGGGCCTGGGCTGGGGGGCCCCGGCCGGTGACACACTGGGCTTCCACGGGATTACACTGGGCTCCTCTAAAGCTGCCTGAGGAGCGGAAAGGTGCGCCGGAGCACTGGTCCCCCACGAGGAGGGCAGCTGTACCCCCCAGGGCGCCTTCTAGCCCCAGAGGCTGGCAGGCAGGCGGCTGGTGGGGCCCTGGGGAGGAGGGGCGACAGCTGGACCTGTCTGGAGGGCAGGGGTGCCGGCGTCTCATGGCAGAGCGCTGTAGAGGGCAGCCGGGAGGGCTGGCCGGGGTCCTCTGGCAGACGGGGAGGCCCTGGGAGTGGGTTCTGGCTCACCGAGTTCTTGAGGTCCAGGTACTTGGTGTTTCTGGTCACAGGCATCCCGGAGAGGAAGGCCAAGATGTCATTATTGGCCTGTAAAACAGGAGCATGGCGGGAGGCGCTGAGAAAGGGGCGCAGGCCCCGTCTCCCCAGAGCCCGAAGGAGCATGTGTGGTCTCTAGTTCTCCTGAGCCCCCTGGGTTTTCCACACGGTAATCTCTTCTCACTTCCAGTAATTTCCAGTTTTCCCAGGGGCTCAAACCTCCAGGGTGTTGCTAGCCCCGACCAGGGGGAAACACACTTTGTGCGAGATTCGGGGAGACCCTCGCCAGGCACGAAGGGTCAGGAGGTGGGGGGCTGGAGATTCGGGGAGACCCTCGC